ACATCCTCTATTAAGCGCCCGATGGACTCATCGACGGCCCCGGAGTTCTGATGAGGATGAGCAGTTTGGTGAGGCTTCCTTTGTCCATCGAAAGGGTCCCAAACAGGTAATGCATCTTTCTCATAGTATTTTAAATTTAACAATTTGGAATTCATACTGTAATTGGTTTAAGTCCCCAATCGGTAAAAAGTGTTTGAATTGTTGGGTGGATGTGTTGTTTTTGTTGTTATATTGTTGGTAAGTTTTAGGGGAGGTTATGCCGAATTTTCGGAAGAAAATAGAATTCGTTTGATTTTTACTTTGTTTATTTTGTAGTTCAAAAAAAAAAAAAACTTGGGGCCCATGCAGACTTCTGAATGCGTCACAGACCACTTGCATTACGACAAAAAGATCACCATTACGTGGGATCCTTGACATCGAGTGGCTGCAACAAAGGAGCAGCACAGTGCGTTGGCCACCGACATTGGCTTAGTTATTAGGAGTCATTGCCCGCTTCTGTGGAAGTCCTGGAAAGTTGTCCCACATGAAATCAAGCACGACGTTCTTCATGAATTATCGGTCAGTATTGTCAACCTCAAATACTAAATTTTTATTAAAGTATAGAAATATTATAAATTTTAACTACTATTTATTTTTTGAGTTTTGTAGCATCACTATGAGCTCACGAACCTTGATGCCAATCACAACCAGTACATCAATGAGATTTGCACCGGCAAGTTCACTAAGTGGAAGAACGACCTCCACAAGCATTATGAGAAATATAACGGTTAGGAGGTCGCTCTAATAGTTGGGTGACTTAAGGAGTTGGTGGACCGCCAGGATGAAAGGGAGTGGCTGTGCGGCAATTTTCATGACGAGAAATACCTCGTAAGTATAATATATATTTCAATAATATTAATCAAAATTTTTATATTTTTAGATAATATTTTAAATTTTTACATTAATTTGTTATAAATACCTAAACTAATACATTTTTTTTATTCAATATAAAAAAGTGAAGGTAAACTCTATCAATCGGTCGAAGAAGAAACTTCTTCACCGCTCCGGCTTGCGATGCTTCTCTTATAGGTTGGAGGAGCAACGTAAGGTAACCGTATATTCATTTTAAATTTTGATTCTTTTTACATGTTCAAGGAGGTATACATTCTGCCTGGGAATGATTTGGTGGAGCAGCTTCATTTAAGTTAATTTCAATTTTTAATATTCAATTATTATTAATATTAATTACATGTTTATTAAAATTAATTTGTTTGTTTTCATTTTTCTAGTCCACCATGGTTGGAGAAGGGCTAGACTGTTCTGGAGGAGGTGGCTTACTGGCTTCCCCAAGGATGCGGGTTTTCAGATCATAACGGACACACTCAATCAGGCCATCGATCGTAGGCAGGGGAATGTTCACCGGGGGCTTGGGATAGCCGGCCATCGAGACCCATATGCCTCCTTCTCCAGGCAGAGAACAGAAAGGTCAAATTGCTGACATCTGAAGTGGCGGGCCTAAAGGAGCAGATTGCTGCCCAACAGTCTCATCTTGTAACCCAAAGCAGTGTGATGAACCAAATTCGTCTCGCCCTTCAGTTTTCTGGTATTCGGTTCCCCGACATTGAACCTACTCCAGCAACGATCTCTCAGCCACCCGCCGCAGCAGCTACGACCACCTAACCCCCTAACGTAGCAGCAACACCACCAGAAGGCGATTATGACATGGAGGACTATATATTGTAGGTTTTTTTTTTTCAAATTTTAAAATATTTCTTTCCGTTGTATGTACACTTTGAGAAATTTTTTAATTCAATATTCTTCTTTACATTTTCTGTTTTTAATTTCATTAAATTAATTTAAATTACATAAAACAATATTATCAACATTTAAAAGGAAAAATTAAATAGTAAATAAATAAAAATTATTTTAAAGAAATTAATTTTAAAACTATAGTGTGACAAAGGACATTTATCACTCAAATGTTACCGCGACAAACACCATGTTCGTTGCGCAAATATTATTGCGACAGCCGTTATGTCTGTCACGCAAATATCACCTCATCGAACCCTAGTTTTGTCGCTCAGAGTATCTCACGCAACGAGCACTAATTCGTCGTTCTTTATTTCACACAACGAAGGACTTTCCTTTGTCGCCCAATGTCTAACGTCACGAGCTTTATGTGACAAAATTTGCACAACATCCTCTTTGCCGTCCAAAATTTTTGGCAACCATATTTGGCTTTGCGCTACGGCTGTCGCTTCATCGCCCAATGAGTTATGCTTAGTAGTGTTCCAACAACGGAGGAGTATATGGAAAATGCATATGTATCATTTGCCTTGGGAGGAGTTGTCCTTCCGGCTCTCTATTTGGTTGGGCCCAAGCTTTCGGAGGAGGCTGTAGAAAGTTCTGAATTCCATCGTCTGTATCGACTGATGGGCTTTCTCAATGATGTCCAAGGGTTTAAGGTAGACATGAACACCGCATTCTCCTCCTGAAAAAGTAAACCTAATATCCCATATAAAATTGTTAACTCTTAACTCCTGGCTACGTTGCAGAGGGAATCTGCAGAAGGGAAGCTAAATGTTATGTCCTTGGCCATGATTCATGGCAAAAGCGTTACCAGGGAAGAGGCAATTAACGAGATGAAGAATGCAATAGTCAGTAAGAAAAGAAAATTACTAAGATTAGTTTTGCTTGAGAAAGGTAGTGATAGGATTTTTACCACCTACAAAGGTAGGGATAAAAACATTTAAAATACATGCAGAGTACAAGGTAATTGTAGTATAGAAGCTCTAGCAAGGTCTTTGTTCACAGGGATTGAATGAATAATTTATGTCAAATCAAATCTTAATTAATTAATTAATTAAAATAAAGTTCGAGAAAAGGTTGCTTTTGTGATTTAAGATAATAAAAGAATTTAATAGAAATAATTAAATATTTGGCAAAATAAAATAAACTAAAAGAAAACATTTTTATGAAAATTAAATTGTGAAAGCAATAGGGTTCTGCCGTCACTTTAACAATCATGCGTAGTTTTTCCAATTGCTTATGGATTATACATGCATATTTTGAAAGTTAAGTTTTCCCAAAGTATGCCTACTTAGACCCCTATATTTTATATGGGGAAAGATTTTGTACTCAATATACGAATGAATGTAGTACTAGCTTATAAGCAAATTTCAACGAATGTAGCTAAATATTTGATAAAACTATTATAGTACGCTATATTTTACATGGCATGCATGCAATCAAACTGTTCATCTGCAGAGCCCCAATAGTTTTAGGGGTGTGCTATCCACACACCCCTTTTTACTTCTCTCACATCCTAGTTAATTTCTGTCATTTGATCTTCTTTAATCATCCAATCCGATGGTTGAAAATTAAAAGAATGTGAACGAAGTAAAAAGAAATGTGTGGATATCACATCCCTATTTTTAATATGGTGGTACTTAATCAGCAGCACTGATCGTATATATCAAACCATGAGTAACAAATCAAATGGAGGGGGGTGGGGAGAGAGGGGAGAGAGAGAGAGAGAGAGGGTTACTGTGCACTGGATTTTCAGAAACATTGGCAAAGACTATTTTGGATGAGAACAATAGCAGTGCAATGAAGGGAATCAAGTAGACAATGCAGGCCTTGTGAACCATTATTTTAGGTATAAGTTCGAGTCCTGTCTTGTATCTACATGCTACTTTATATAAAACCTACTATTTTATATAAAGCAACCAACTAACTACATGGCTGATTAAATACGTTTTTGTTGTAAATGGTGTGAAATGCTGATTGTAAATGTGAGCAACAAAGTACGACCAATGTGAATGGTGTGATTGCCCATTGTAAAAGTGAGCAATCAAGTATGACCAAGAAGGAATGATGTTGATGCACAAATTTGGATGGATTTTGGAACAACGTAAAATGTCGAGTTTGTGACATTCGCACGGTTGTTTCAGTCACCTAGTGAGTAGGGGTGGGTTCAAAAAATAAAACCAAAAAAAGGGGACCAAACACCGAACCAAAACCAAAAACCAAAAGCTGAAAAAAAAAACCGAAATGGAAAAGGAAAAATCGAACCAAACCAAACTTTATTGGTTCGGTTTCCGTTTTGGAGGTTCGAAACCCGAACCAAACTGAATCCCGAATCCCTTTAACACTTTATGGATGTATACCCATAATGTTTCTTTTGTGAAACTTTGTTGCCAAGTTTTTCAAGGAGCATACTTTGGTTCAATTAGGGATGATATTCCATTGATTATAGAGGAAAGTTTTGGAAGGCTTTGGAACTTGGAAAAGTTTCTCTATTTATTTGTTTTTTGAATGGATATGGTGATCTTTTCTTTGCAATTGAGATTGTTGATAGAATATGATTGGTTTATATGATCTTGTATATGTACAACTACCTTCCCACATTCCCCATTTTCTTATTATTTGTCTACCAATGTTAGTTTCTTTTCTAAATTCCATATTAAAAAGAGAACAAGTTTTATAAAATAAAAAAAAACGAAACCGTACTAAAACCGAACCGAACAAAATTAAACCGAAAAAAAAAAAACGAACCAAAAAAAATCGAACCGAACCAAACCAACTGAGTTTTGGTTTGGTTTTGGTTTTGGCAAAAGACTGAACCTACCCCTACTAGTGATGATAATATGTAAAGAGATAAATATAGGGAATGAGACACAAGATGTACGTGATTCACCCTAAGCTGGCTATGTCCACAAGGTAGAGGAATTCTAATTAATAGTGAAGAGTTTACACAATACATAGGTTCAAGCATAATCATGATTTGTGAGTTCTAATGATGAGTTTAAATACAATAATAGCATTAGAGATTAATCATAGGAGAATGATTTCCTTTTGTAGTGGAGGAGATTCTCCGGCTTCCGTCCGTGGTCAATGTGGAACTTTAGGAGCATTATTTTGACTCATGTTGTGATTGGTCTCTTGATTGAAGAGGAACTCATGTGCTTCAGTAAGGGTGCCTCAGCATGAACCTTTCATTGGGTCTCTGAAGCTAGAAATTGACCGGTGATTAGTAGTTTCGGGATTGGTGAAGTATGGTACATGTATAAGCACAAACCAATCATCCCATTTTATTTTCTTATGATTCCAAATAAATGTATAAGTCAATATTCTATTATAATTTGCATATAAGTCAAATAATACTCACTTGGCAGCAAAACTCGTCATCATACATAAATAACTCAATTGACCCAATTTACATATAAAAGAATACTAATATGAATTTAGGGATAATAAATGTAGTAATATCGCGTCTATCTTTAGTACAAACAATTGAAAACCTCCCTATAACGAGATATATTTGTACCATTGAAGAACACAACAAAAATAGAGAAATTCATGTAAGTTGTGCCAAGGCTAGAGAGTTAGAAAATAGTAAGAGTTTTCTTTATACTCCTATTATTTCAAATAATGAGCAAAACAACTACTATTGCCTAGAGGACGTAGGCAAACTTGCCAAACCTTGTAAATATTATCACTACAAGAAAAAACAATTTACCAGATGGAAAAAAGTCGTCGTCCAAAACCCAAAGTCGTCGCAAGATAATTTAAGCGATGGAAGTTCACTGGCCAAAAGTAGTCGGGCAAAACTCGTCATGGTAGTGCTATAAACAAGTTCCCCGGTTAATTAGAATTTTAAGGAATGAAATTGTTTTGCGGGACGGCGGTTTCGTTGGTCTAATATACACGTTTACAGGAAATATAATTTTGGAAAAAACTTCAAAGCATATTGGTTCTTGTCTGACTAGAAAAAGAAATAGGAAAATACCTCAAAATGGGAACAATTTTTTAATCTTGTGACAGAAATAGGACAAATCAACCATGTACACCATGCATAAAATCGAAATTACTAAAATACCCACATATAAATACTAACAATTATCAGTCCAATGCATCACTGTCCACATTTGGAAGAGAAGGAACTGGGTTAAGCTCAGATCTCTGAGCTCCAATTTCAAAGATAAGAATAGTCCACAGAGAGGCGAGAAGAGTAACCTGGGTTTTGGGTTGACCTCATACCTCTAATTTCAAACAAATGGATGTGAGAGAGAGGTGAGAAGAGTGAGCTGGGTTTTGTACCATATTTTCTATTTTGGCCAAAAAGTTCCATTTTTTTCCCGCGACTCAAGGTTTGGCAAATATAGTAAGGTAGGGTGTTTAGTTCCAAGTTCCTTCATCAATGATTTATGGAATAAATGAGTTGTTTGTAAGATGAATTAATACTTAGAAGTAAACTAGGGTTTGTGTTTCATGTTTGGACTATGGGTTGTGTAATAAATTTCAAGTTTTGATGTGCTACAAAACTATGATAGAACAATTTATGGTTCAAGTGTTCAATTGCATAAATTTGTGAAAATTTTTCCATAATGTGCAAATGATATTCATGGCTACATCTTAATATGAGAAAAGGGAGTGTTCACTACTTATGATGCACATATGTTGTGCCTTGAAATTTAGCGAGTATGACTACAACCTAGTTGGCCTCAGCGAAAAACAAAATTAAACATAAATAAAAAAATAAATAAAAAAAAGCTTAGAGGATGTAAAAGGTCATGCGTGTCCATGAAATAATGACAACAAGTATCATGTTTTCCACGTGCATGGTTAAGTGGTGGTTGATATACGTAACAAGACTTTTTAAACTGTCATTCTAACCTTATATACGTAACAATTATGTTTTAATTGTACCCACTAGACCAATATGTGATGTTAAAGTTTCTCTCGTTCTGTGCATATCATGTGCATGTATGTACATATTGTGTGAATGTGGTGTGCATATAGTGTATATGGTGCATATTTACATCTTTGATATTCTTGCATTAACATAGTTTACTACTTTTTTTCCTTTGATTCAGAGGCAGGCAATGCAACTACGAAAAAAGCGAACAAGTTCGTGAAACAATTTCCTTTGGTTCAATTAGGTTCTTTCATACCCATTCAAAGTGCAATTTTCAAATCCTTGAAATATTTGAACCCAATCAAATTATACCAAATTCAAATTAATGAATCTTTGATTCTTCACATAAAATTTAGGGTCATTTTTCTAATTTCAAATAAAGAGCTGTGAGCTATGGGTTTTTGGGTTGAACTCAGACTTGTGAGTATAACATGTACATGTCATGTGCATGTCATGTATATATCGTGTACATACAATGTATAAGCAAGCTTAATACGAAGAGAGCGAACGAGTATGTAAAACAATTTTGTCCATATCCTTTTCTCTTCCTTCTTTCCACTCTAATTTCTCTCTTTTCCCTCAAATTTATCTCTTCTCCAAAAGGCAACTGACCTTTAATACATTTTTTTAATTTAATTGCAACAGCCAAACCCTATTCAAGTGCTCGTAAATTTGGATTGAGAAAGAGAGCAGAGGGAGGAAGAAGACAGAAGAAATGAAAACCCACATATAAATTAAAGAAATAATCAAAAATCAAAAATCAAAATTGAAGGACCTCCAAGAAACACCAAACGAATCACTTCAACTCCAAAAATCCACCAATCAAAAAGGAAAATTAAGCAAACCCAATTCACAAAACCAACAAATGAAAAGGTAAAAACCGAGGAAGATGGGTGGGTTTGAGAGAGAGCTCTTGTGCATATTCGAAATGTAAAGAGAGATGAGAGCGAGAGAGAAAGAAAGGAAGCTTGGATGAAGAAGATGGGTGGGTTAGGATTCTTCGAACTGGAATTAGGTGAGAGAGATTCTCTCTCTCTCTCTCTCTCTCTCTCTCTCTCTCTCCCCTCTCTGTTTCTCTCTCTTTATAAAATGAGAAATGAGGGCTGAAATTTCTAGATAACCCATTTACATGGAAGGGCAATTTGGTTATTTCAAGGTGTAGAAAAAAAAATCATATTTCTGTTCTATTGTTGTGCATGACATGTGCATATTTGAAATGTCATATTTTTGTCCTAAGATTAAGAAATTGTCCTATTTCTGGATATTTCTCAAAGAAATATGTAGTATATTTTCTCTTTCTTACTAACCATCATGTGGAGTTTGGAGAAAAACCATGCACTACATTTGCCTTCTTTGAAAACTATAAACTGCCGAACTAAATGAACATTTTGTGGAAACATTTTTATGTGGTCATAAGTATAGTCACTTCAAAGAAAAACGTAATCATAACATTATTTTTCTTGAAATGTGATTGTGGTGTGGACAATAGTAGCAGTCTTTTGAAAATTTGGAACATAATCATACTTATTTTCCAAATCGAACCATGAAAAGATTAGTATGAAACTAGATAGTAATACCCGCACGTTGCTGCAGGATTACAAATTGCATAAATAATTATGTTTGAAAGACTACCAAAGTTAAATCTAGTGAATTGCAAAATCATGAGGAAATGAAAGGTTTGCGATTAGGTGCACGCAAACCCATTAAGTCAAATGCTAAAACAAAACTGAAAAATATAGACCACAGTTTTTTAATCAATAAGAAAATGAACAACTTAATCAATGAATACCAAAGAATAGAAAAAAACTTGTAATCCTTGTATGCAACTTTGGAGGTGATGTAATTTTGTCAGCTACAAAGACTAAAAATACTTCAAACAGAATAAATGGTGAACTTACTTGTAAGCCTTGAGCTTTATGTAACCTGTAAAGAAAATAGGCATTGTGAAAAATGACAGAAAAATTATTGAGAGTAACATAATTTATACCAATAAACTACCATTGAATTTTAATTTTGTAGTAACTTCTCCATATTTTTCAAACCATTAAAACAATATTATTTATATACATGTGGAAATCTATTTATAACCCTAAAAAGTGTTTTGACTCCTGAAGTTGAAACCAAAATCAAATTAAACCAAATGTAAGATCTGAGGTTAGAAACAAAACTCCTAAAGCCGCAAAACCGAAATTTGAACAGAAAAAATATGACAAAGAGCACCACAGGTAATTAGTCTGGATACGGTGAATTCCACAGGCAATATTTGATCGGAAAACACATGATAACCACATATATGATTATATGATTTCATTGTATTTATGAACAATTTAAAATGGAATGTGATAGAGAAGTAAAACTACATGTACCATTAATTTAGAGATTGTGGTGATGAAAAACAGTGAGCATCACATTATCTAATCTTTATTGCATTTATGTACACACTGAATATTCCAGACACATCAAGATGACCAGTAATTTTAAATGACAAACCATGTTAAAATAAAAGTGATTGCTAAGGAAATTAATAGATTATAGCATTGAATCGAGTTGAAAATGTAATAATGTGATTGGATGTTTTTTGTCAAAATTATATCATATTGTTTATATGTTTTGGTTTAAATAGCATAATTTAGTTAAATAGTTTTAATACGAACAATAGTTAAAATTATTACTTAACCTTCGAGTATTTTTATTCTAAAAATGAAATAAAAAGGTGGAGAAAGATGGATCAGATACACCTGATTTGGTGTCTTGGTGTAATACAAAGATCATCATTTCCATCTTTTCTCTTCAAAGGAATCAGTTGCTACTAATATATATATATATATATATATATATACAAAGCCCTTGTACTTTTGACCTGCTTTAAACGCATGACTAATTGCTTACCTATTCAATGAGGGTTTTAAGATGAACATCCAAAGTATAAATGGGGAAGGTGCCACCAGAGATAAAATTTCTCCATATGCCTTAATTAAGCTAAAGAATGGTGTTCCTTGACTCAATTAAGGCATGTGGAGACGCTGCATCTTTAGTAAGGGCATGTGGAGTTATATTTTTTGATGTCCAATTTAACCCTTCAGTGGGCAGGCATGTAACTAGTCATGTATTTAGACCAGGTGAAAAGAAGATAGATTGTACATGTATTGGTAGCAGCGAATTCCTTTGAAGAGATTGGTTAGCAAAACAATTGGAAAAAAAATTGTTAATACACAGGCCTAAAAATGACTTTTGAAATTTAATGTAGAGTAAATTACTTATCTATTGGTGGTAGCATGGTTCTTGCGTGGGCTGTGGTATGATTGATTGGATTTGGATCAGTTGGTTGTGGTAGTAGTGGTTTAGCTGAGTTGGCGGAAAAGCACTTGATAAGAATTGTGAAGTTTAATTATAATCAGAATAATAAGCATTTGGTGTTATCTTGTAATTGTGCAATTTGGGAAGGATAGATTGTCACCTTCTCTGGGGCTTGGTTCTTTGCAGGAATTGTCATGACAGAGAGGGAGAAAGTGGGTCTTCGTTGAGAGTGTTTGAGTGCTGGATGTTGGTACAGAAGCAATTAAATACTTGGAATTAAATAACATCTTCCAATGGTGTAAATTGGAACTTGATGAATATAAAATAAAATAAAAATAAATTACAGAATATAGGAACAAACCATAGTTTGTGAAATAGCATGTTCAAACTGCATATAAACATTTCCAAGTAAATTCATACCTCCAAGCAAAAGAGAATAGAATAAACCACTGAAATGAAAGATTAAATTGGGTCAGTTAGCTATATACATACCTGTAAAAAAAAACTTTAAATCAGGTATGTTGAGAAAGTTCAAAAGCTTACCAGAAGTTACAGATACACAATTTGATTAGTACATGATGAATGCTTAAATTCTTGGATATGAATGTATGAAGTTAAAAAGCTGAGTCCAAATTTTGCTTAACATCTTTCATTACTATATTTATAGTATAATTGTTTGAATTGTTTTCTCCATTTCCTATCAAAATCTTTAGACCTTCTCTTGACATAACTCTAGATAATGCAACATACAATTCACCATGAGTGAAAACCGGTTCAGGAAGGTACAATCCAACTTGTTTTAATGATTGTCCTTGGCTTTTATTTATTGTCATTGCATAACATGGTCTAACTGAAAATTGACGTCTTTTAAAAATAAAAGACTATTTACTTTCAGTTGCTGCAAGAGTGATCCTCGGTATAAAAACTTTATGACCAATATTAGTTCCAGCAAGTATTTTAGCTTCAATAACTATATTAAATAACTGTGTAACAACCAATCTAGTTCTATTGCATAAACCAAGAGGCTAATTTAAATTTCGTAACAACATAATCGGCATTCCAATTTTTAACATTAAGTTATGTGTAGGCAAACCATTGAATTAAAGTTTGTTTAAAAATTCTATAGGATACATTGTTTCAAGATTTTCAACATTTGAATTTGAAGAACACAAAGAATCATAGCTTAAAAATACATGTTTTTCTCCAAGTACTAAATTAATTATATAATTATTTACATCTGATACAGTTGTGTTTCGAGGTGTTGTAATAGCTCGTTCTCTTAGATAAATAAAATTGTTAAAAGAATTTTCAAAATCAGGATAAGTTGCTAAAAAGATTGAAGAAATTCGATTTGTAGAAGAATGAATTACCAAATCTTCCCGTATTTGAACAAAAGATGTGTCCATATCATTTGAATCAATTATATTATCTGTGTTATCAATTTGTCCATCACCTACTTGTAAAATCCAATCTGCAAAATCTTTATTTTTTATTTTTCATCAAAAGTTAAATCATTTCATGACAATCTCATATTTTCTTTTAAACGAAAATTTTTGAAATGTCGCCACAAATAAGAGCTATTTAAAGTGGCATTTATTATATCTTCTTTGCTTGCTCCAGGAATAACAAGTAATATCTGTCGAAAATCACCATCTAATAAAAGAGGTTTACCACCAAACGGAACATTGTTATTTGGAGTGTTTAAATGTGATAAAATGTCACAAACTGATTTATCCAATGCTTCAAAACAATGTTTATGATTCATAGGTGCCTCATCCCATATAATTAAATCAGTTTTTTTCAATTAATTTAGCAAGATGAGTGCAGATTTAAATTAATTTTCTCGCTATCGTAATTAAATCGTACTCTACATCACGAGCGCGTTGAAGCGAGTTAGAATCAAAGTGGAGTCGTAATGAAAAGTTACGATTATTTAAGTGCGTAACAGGTAACTTTTGAACTAATTAGATGGGTTTTTTTCCTTGGCCCAATTAGATAGTTGTTTTTATTTTTCTTTGGGCCAATTACACATATAACTCTTTCTCTCTATCACCACAGCCCAATCAGAAAATATAATTTTCCTCTTCTGCCAATCACACATGCCAATCACATGCGCGCACGCGCACACACACACACACTCTCTTCTCTCTCTCTCTCTCTCTCTCTCTCTCTCTCTCTCTCTCTCTCTCTCCCTCCTCTTCTTCCACCGTACACGCGAGACACCCTACGCATAACCATCATCAAACTCACACGGATCGAACTTTTGGAAACCACCACCATCCTCCTCTCACTTCACAATCACCATCATACCCTTAGTTTTCCGTTTTGGTGAGTTTTAGCTTGGAAACCAGAAGCTCTGACGAGGAGCTAGTTTGCTCCGACACGATCACGGACGATTTACAAGGTTTTAAGGCTTGGGATGGTCTCTATGCAACTTCCCTAGCACTTTAGAGTAGATTTGGAGTGGAGTGGACGTCGGAATAGGTGAGTTTGAAGAGTTGCAGAGTTGGCCGGATTTTCCAAGAAATTTTTCGATAGTTTTTCGTTGAATTTTGGACTTCTAATGGTACGAACGTGTTCTACTCTTCGATACCTTCAAATCCATATAAATTTCATGGATTTTGGTTAAGAAATGACAAAGTTATGAAGATTTGAAAATTTTCCAGAAACCGACGAACCAGACGACGGCAGACAGCAAGGGTGACTGGAGAAGAAGGCGAATATTCCGTCAAAGTTGATGGAATATTCTGATGGCGTCAGGTAACACCATTAACTCCATCAGTTAAATTAGCAGAATATTCCATCAGTTTGGATGGAATATTCCTGGATTCCATCAGGCACTAGCCGGGCGTGGGGCACGTCTGGTCGTGCCTTGGTCGGCGCGTGACAGCACGTCCAAGGTCCAAAAAAATTTCTAAAAATATGGGTGTGTTTGTATCGTCGAGTAGATCACGTTGGTATATTCAAACCTTACATTTGAGCAAACTATGGGTGGTTATTTCTAGATTTCGTATATGTGCTAATTAATTAACATAAAAATAGTTGTATCATATATAGGTGAGACGTACCCCGAGGACGAGCGTGGACAAGCGAAGTTAGGGGGCTACGATCATGCTACTTATCAGTGAGTAGGCATTTGCTTTCTATATATATATATATATAGTTTCCAGAAACATTTTTTTTTTTTTTAATATGGAATTATGCTTTACTGGCCATATCGTAAATAAGTTACATTTTAAATAGTCCATTGTTATACTTGTGAATTGTATGGTGTGATTTTGAGGACACTCAGGTAAGCTTCAAGTGAGTATTATGCGATTGAATGGGTTGTATTGCGTTGGTATGCATACATTTATTTAGAGCTCATCATGGCTGCACCCTGTATTAGTGCTCCCACCCGAGGCCAGGGCCAGCTTTCACGTGATTGTTCACCTCCCGCACCGCACGCTCACCTTGGATCCAAGTCTGGTGCCAGCCTATCGTACAAACCAAATAGGTGGTTCCGACTCGTAGATGACCCGTGATTTATCGCACAACCTTCACATGATTTTAGTACTTAAGCATACATATTATACCCAACCTGTCATACAAGTCACATGAGGTGACTCCAACTCGTGTGCTAGCCTAGATTGATGAGCTATAGGTCCAGTCGTACAGATCACATTAGGTGACTCCGACTAGCATGTTAGTTTATATCGATTTCACACCTAGCTTATATATAGCAATGCTGAAATGTTATGGCATGGCATGCTTTTATTTTCATTACCTTGAGCATTGATTATTATATTTACGTAGTATTTTCTGGAAATTATACGGATTTTACGAAGAGGGTTATTATATTCAGAAAAAGAAATGTGTTTTCTAACGCTTTACTTTTGCCCACTCACCCTTCTGTTTTGCGCCCCTCCAGGTTCTAGGTAACTAATCATCTTTGGTTGCTCACGAGGACTACACGACGGTTCTGACGTTCTACTAAATATTGTAGGGATCCTCTCCCTATTTGTATACTTAGTGTTTAGTTAGTTCGACTGCACTTTCATGTTACCTATGCTCTGATACATGTGTATCATATACTTGATCACTTACACACTTATATTATCTCTAATTAAATAAGTTTAGTTTTGGTTTTTATTTATTCGTATTTTCTTATTATTATCACTTCTGTTGCACTCTTGACTACATCACCCTCACATGACCACCAACATGCCTCAACTCCGGTCGGGATGTGTCAGTTCCACCATGACCGTGATTTTAAACAATTTTTTATTAAGTTGTTATCTTTATTATGCTGTGATTTTAAAATTTCATGTGTTTTGGACAATTCTTCAGTCATAATTTAATTCTTCTCTTAAAAGTTTATTTTTGATTTCCAACAATTTTTTTTATTAAGCATTGTCAAATTATATTTATATACAGAGGTAGATGCATTGTTAAAAAGTAATTCCAGTTCAAATAAGACAGAATTTTTTAGTTCATCTTTTGGTTCAATCATATCAGGATTTCCAAAAAAAATATTGTAGTTTGTATAAGATATCATCATACATGTTTTTCTAATGAGTAATAAAAAGAATTTGAGGATTTGTAACATCACAAAATAAAAGGATTGTGACAAATAACTGTCTCAGTTGAGCAGATGATGCAACATGTACATCAGTTGACAAAGCTTCTAACCATCCTTTATCATCACCTAATAATCCCAATGCTTTACATGTAGCTTGATACGAAGAATGAACAACACCATTAACAGTTTTGAGATCATCAAAATTTAATGCACCTTTTTTTTAATTCAAAATCATTCTTAAATAATATAATTCACCTAATACAAGATGTACATATGCTATTCTGCCTATTGATCCTTTTCGTTGTCTTGGTTTCCATAATTTTTTTTTCACGCATCATACAAAAATTGGGATGGCATTTGTGCATAAGTTAGTAAACATGCTCTACTATAAATTTTATTTGCTTCAAACCAACTTGTTAACATTGTATATTCAAAAGCTTTTTGGCTAATAATTGACTCGAGTGATTGGTCACCACTAAAAACAATATTTTGTTGTAATGGTAAATGCACAGGCAACTGTTCAACAGAACGTTGTCTATGATGTATTGAATATTGAAACAATCTCCAAACAGCTTCATAAGGTGATTTATATCTACAATTTAAATATGCTAATATTTCATCATTTGAATCTTGTTGAAGAAGCAATCGTGCTCTATCTGTACCCTTATTAACGTATTTGAACAAATATTTTATAAGCATGGATTGACAACATGATTCAACATTTATATGAGCATTGTATCTCAAAAGTAGTTCTGCATTATAAGGAACAACAAAACTGTTATCAATTTTGACTCCATTTTTTATTACAAATGTTGTATCATCATCACGAAGTCTATAAATTAGAAAACCATTGGGTTCAAAAATAGTCTCATTTTTATATGGCTTAGGGAAATTTTTGGAACATTTGTTTTCTCGCATGCAAGGAAACTTTTGATTAATGTGACCACAAATCATAAATTGAATAACAATTTCATAAAGTCTTGGATTGGTAATTTTATCTGGCAATTCAGTTGAAATAATATTGTTTATATCAGATGGAATAACACATTTAAAATTTGATTTAGCCATATCAACATATGAGAATGAGGCAATCCCTTTTTTTGAAATTCAACTGTGCAAACATCTGTATATCAAAAAAAACAAAAACAAAAACAAAAGAAACAAACAAAAAAATAAAAACAAAATCAGTTTGATAGAAAAACAATGGAAAATCTAAGATAAATAAGACTTAGTTTTTGAAACTTACTTGCTTCAACGTCTCCAAATGGTTCTCCAGACTTTATAAACTGAAACATATCTTCAAGTTTCATTTTAAACACCCTTGAAATTATATCAGGCCAATCTTTAAGTTCGAATCCTGGTTTTTTTTCAATGGAATTTTGGCCACTTAACATTGCATGTAAATGTTATGAACAAATCAGGATGTTCATATTCTCTACAAATAGACATTGTATCTTGATAATTATTAATCATATATCTAGGGCTACCTATATGTGAAGCTGGTAATATAATTTTTTGTCCTAAATTGTTTGCATCATTGTCACATTTTGAAAGTGCATCATGAATTCCTTTATAAACTCTGTTCTCAAATTTTTTTGGTTTAGCCTGATATAATCTAATCTATCTTCTTCAAGTGTTGCATAAGAATCTACCAAATATTGTTAAAAAGGTCTTTCGCCTTTTAGCAATGTAGGTAAATATGGTTCTCGTTTTTGAATTTGATAAGCTATAAAAGCTCTCATGGATACTCTTTGTCCTTGACTTTGTGCACCCTTATAATTTTCACTCCATTTTAAATCAGGCCTGTATCCATCTTCATCATATGGAAAAAGAATGGGAAACTGTAAAGACATAAATTTTGGATTCAATTTTGTAACACATTTTAATCCTTCACTTTTAGACTCAATAATAATATCTCTATTAGAATCAGAAAGTCCTATATCACCAACTATTAAACCACTTATTTCATCACTTGTTGGTTGGTCATATTGCTTGCTATCACTTGTTTGTTTTGCTAACAATTTCATTTTTAAAGAACTAAGTCCATCAATCTCAAATTTATCTCTTGCCATTCAAAAAAGTTTAACTCATTTGACTCATCAAACATCTTAATTAAACCTTCCAACAATTTTTGGATCAAGCTTGTTATTATTTCCTTCACATTCAAAAGCTCTTAAACAATTTTCCACTTCATTATACGTATCATAGACATACAATTGAGCAAATTTTGGGTACTCATTATCAATAGGTAAAAGAGATCCCATTAAATGACAAACTTGACCACTAATTTTGAAAATGTAAGGACTTGACCCATTATTAATTGAGTGATCAATTTTGGCACCCATCGAAGTAAATGAAAACATAGAGTTGTAAGCTCTAGTATTTTCTCGAAATGATAAACTGTTTTGACCTTTAGTTGGATCAAGCAAAAATTCTAAAAAAGCTAGTGTAGGCTTTGGACTTGGCAATTTAATCTTCCCTTGTTGACAACAATGAGTAAAAATTGGTTCATTTTTTTTTTTTTACATTTGTTTAATAGACTCTCTTAACCAAAAATAAGCACCACAATACACGCATTTATAAGTTTTATCTCCAAAGTAATCTCCCACAATTCCTACGTAACAATATACACAGGAAAAGAAAGAAATCAAGACTTAGCAACAACATACTATTAATTATATAGCAAAGTTCTAAAACAACAATAAAAAATTACAATAAAATAGAAAACTTACCAATTCTATTTTTTTTTTTGGAAAAATGTTCGACCCTTATTTATGAAACTATGATTCTTGCGATCAAACATTTGTTCACGTGTGTTTTCAAGAATATTTGACAAATTAACAATATTTTTTCCCTTTTTATTAGAGCTGCAAACAATTTTTTCAACAGGTATAATATAATAATTCACACCATTAAAACCACATTGCACAGTAGTTGATCTGCTAGTGCTATATTGATCTTTAAACTGTGAAGTTCGATGAAATGCATCCGTTTCAGACAAAATAGTGGTCGGGCAATTTTGAATACAACTGGCTCTACACATTTTTTTTTTTTTGCTGGTGACCATATTCAACAAAGAGATTATATTCATTGTCCCCATTGTTTTATTTCTGCTTTGTAGCATCATTTGTTAATGCATCTATAGATCTTTTAGACATATCGGAAAGAAATTGTTATAGCCAATTAAACACAAAAAATTGCAGAAAAACATCGGAAAAAACGAGAAAATTAACAAAGATGCAACATAGACACGAAAACAATACATGTAACATCAAATGCAAACAGCTAAAATTAAAATTTCAATTGAAATACAATAAAACCTAAACTAAACAGAACATAAAATTTTATTCCAATGGTAAAAAATAAAATCAAACCACAGGGTATAAATTTGAATTCAATAATTTCAGAGGTTTAAATGAGTTACCTTTTGTCTAGAGAACCTTGCAATGCAAATAGAACCAAATTGACGTTAAATAATGTCACGTCCTCAAACCCTGTCAAAACCCAACATAATTATTATTCAACAACAAATTTACAAACTGTGAACTAACAAAATTGCTAACCACCACCAAACATGTTTCAACCTCTGTTTCTAATTTCTAACACGAAAAAAAGAGGGAATGACTTAATCATAGTACCAAAGACATAAATACAAATACAACTTTAACACATGATGATATTTGATATACCATAAAATTTTAAAGGGTGATACAAATACCAGAACATATTTATATATATGTACAAACAATTATCAACATGATTAACAAAAATTTGAAAATTTTAAAGTTTACACTACTTGTCACTCACTTGCCCTTTTTTTTTTTTTTTTTTTTTTTTTCCAATTTGAGCAAAAGCACTTTGTTGCTTATATAAATTGTTGTGACAATAATCTGCAATAAATAAAATAGTTATAAATAAGACATATAAAACAACATTGTAATAATTCTTTTTTTTTTTCATTTAAAGCAATAATTATAACTACAATTAATAAAAGTTTATAAATTCTAAACTAAACACTACTTAGTAAGCTGACTAACCTTTTTTTTTTTTTTTTCCAATTTCAGCAAAAGCACTTTGTAGCATATATAAATTGCTTTGATAATGATCTGCAATGAAAAATGCAGTCACAAATTAGATAGACAAAACACAAATAGTACCATAATGATCTTTCTTTTTTTCGTTGAAAGCACTGCATAACTGGGAAAAGAAACGAAAACTTAAATTAAACTATCGAGAACCAAATAAACAATCAATAAATCAAGAAGCAAATGATCTAACATATTTTAGTTCTTCTTAAACTATAAAACACAGTATATCTACCACAAATAGTCTGTAAACAGAACCATTAAAATCTCTTGACCCTAATAAGCATCTTTTGCCTTATAAAAATTCTATGGATAAGTGACTTCTTTATACAACCTTGCTTATTCCAAATACCTAATCTCACACCTTGTAACTAAATTATGACATGCTTTTAATGTTGCTTTCAACTAACAGTAAAAACCAAGAAAAAAAATCCAAATGCCAAGATCCTTATGCCTTGTAAAAGATACAGAAAAGAATAGCAACATTTATTTTAGACAAAAGCAAAAAACAGTTGTTAGTCTTGGTAGTTTAAAACAGATGACAAAGAGAAAGCATTTGCCACTCTATGTATAATAAGCCCAACATACCATTTGCAGAAAAACTAGAACAAAGAGCAAAGAGTTGGACAAAACATTAAACCATTGAGAACCAAATAAAAAATTAATAAGTCAAGAAGCAAACGACCTAACACATTTGAATTCTTTTTAATCTATAAGAATACAGTATATCCAGAACCAATAGTCTGGAGAGAGGACCATTAAAATCCTTTGATCCCAATAAGCATATTTTGCCTTACAAAAATTGAAGGGATGAGTGACTTGTTCAAACAACCTTGCTGTTTCAAATACCTAATCTCACAGTTTGTAACCAAATTACTGTGCACATTTCATTTTGCTTTCAACTAACACTAAAAACCAAGAAAAAACTTGAAAAGCCAAGAACCTTTTAGCTCGTAAAAGATACAGAAATAAGAAAAATTATGCTTTTGGTCCTTTATTTTAGACAAAAAAAAAATAGTAATTAATCCTGATACTTTAAAACAGATGACAGAGAGATAACATTTGCCTCTCTGTGTAACCCTTCACAGAACAACTGGAACAGAGAGCAGAAACTTGAGAAAAACATTTAAGTCTCCTACTTGGGTCTTTCTTTCTCTCTCTAAAACAACTCTGATTCCTTTTTTTCATACTTCTAACAAAGAAAATTCTCACAAATATCTCTATTCCCATTCTAATACCCATACTCACTCTCATAAGGAATACCATGAGATATGAATCTTCAACCAAAACCCAAATCTTAAAACCCATACTTACTCTCATAAAGAATATCATGACATACAAATTCTCAATCAAAACCCAAATCTTTTTCCAGTAAGAACCAAATCACACAATCAAACAATAGATGTAATAAACAAAACACACAAAATTAGAAAAATTAAATTGAAAAAAAAAATAGAACAACACCGTCCAAAATGAAAAACACAAAAAATTAGAATCAAATCCAACAGGGATGGATGCATTGAGGGGCAGGGGGTCAGCTGACCCTCCGAACTCAGTGAATGTCCAGGGATAACTTTAGTGTTGACCCTCGGAACTTTAGTGAATGTTCATAGATGACTTGAGTGCTGCCCCTTTAAGGGTTGGAGTTGCCCTTCATATATGCCCTTCAATTGCTTGATAAAATGCATTAGAGAGATGTTGCCCCTTTACAGTCTAGTCCTAATATTATTTACCTCTGGTTTGTTTGTTGGTTGTGATTACAATTGTAGGCAGAAAAAAAAAAACCAAGTAAAAAATTGTCCAAAAATGCAAAGTAAATGAAATGGTGATCTTAGAGAATAACAAAGCATCATCATTCTTGGACAAACATATTAATGAGATGCAATGATATCAAACAATGTTAGTGTATTCAAGATAAGTGTGTTTCTTTGTTAAGGATTCATATGGAAGCAGCATTGGAACATGTTAATTACCCATGCAAATAAGGCATTAACAAGTGTGCAGTATGCCTTTTCAAATGACTTCAGACCTAGCAAGACTCGATCAAATGACGATATGCATGTTATTTCTGGTAAAAAAAAATTGTGCGCTCGCTATTCTTACTGCCCCCTGATATTATTTCCTAGATCTGCCAGTGAAATCCAATTCAAATTTCTGAAGTCTCATTCATCCTTTTCCCTAAGCAATTTAAGCACCCCCGCTGTAGACCATGCAACACCAACCTTGCTTAATAGTAATATGAAAGGCACAACGCATAGATAGTAGGCGAAAAAATTAAACGATAGCCCCAGAAAAACCATACCCAGATGAATACCACCAACTCAAAACCAAAATCATATCGGAAACAGAAAATACAAAACCTTCATATCCAGAAATTAGACACACCCTAGTGACCTCCACCAAGAGATTGAGCGCTCGAATATCAATGATAGAGAAGTGCACAGCTCAACATTAAATCAAGGAGAAAACTACCAGGAAAATAAAAAATAAAAATAAAAAAATGAAAAACTCACCAACAAATCTTGGAGGTAAGAAATCCACCCTGAGAATATCAAAAAACCAATTCAATGGGCACTGACCCTCAGGTTTTAAGGGTTTTAAAGCCAACTCTGCAAGAACAATTAACTTTTCCAGGGATTTTAAACGCAAAGATGAGATCGATTCGAAGATCGAAAACACAAAGAACGCAGGTTTGAGAAAGACCAAAACAGGCAGAAAAAGCAAGGAAAATGAAGAGAGAAACAAACCAAATAAAAAACGGCACCAAAGCAAAAGTAAAACGGATGAGTGAAGCGTGGGATGAAAGGCTAAATGGTACAAAAAAAAAAAATCAGAATACAATAGAGTCGAGGGCCATTTCTGTCAGTTGAACGGTTAAAGAAAGGGTAAAATGGTAAAAAAAATTCAAAACAGAAAGGAACTAGAGGACAGTTGTTCCGTCTGTGCACTGTTAGTGAACAGTGTTTTAGTATGGGTATAATTTGTGACCAAATATGAGTCCCTTTCTCTCCATGTGAGAGACCTTTCCTCTAGTTGATGATGATTCTCACCACTCTATGTGAGTGGTTTACAATCAAGTCCCTTTCTGTTGCCGTCGATCCTAGCTACGGTTGGGATCGGTGGGTTTTCTTTAGTTTTTTTTCTTCCTCTCTTTCTCTTCTTCCATCCGCTGTTTTCTTCCTTGGGTTTCTTGGTTGATCTGCCTTCCTCTCTCCCCTCTGCTGTCTCTCATCCATCTTCATCCAATTTCCGAGCTTCAGTCACCTTTGACTGTGATTTGTTGCAGTGTTTTGAGTGGGTGTGTATCGATCTGGTGCTTCCACTGGGTTGAGTGTTCCTTGCCCCATCACCCTTTCTTTGTTGTATGCCTTTGTTGGCAGTGTTGCTCGTGGACTCCACGAGCTTCTTTCAATTGGCTGCATGTTCTTGGTGGTCGGTAGCCATGTTCAAAGCGAAGCTTTGATTTGGCTAGGGGTATCGATGAGGCGCAGTTTATTTTGGGGCAAGATTTTGGATGGATCGATGTGCACGGCTACTGTTTTGGTGGTTGCAGTGGCTGTGGTGGGGGACGATGCAATAGAAGCGGAAGTTTCTGGGTTTTCTTTTGTTTTGGTCTCAACTTTTGGTTGGGCTGCTGTTCTTTGTTTATGTGTTTTGTTTTTGGGCCCTTGTGTATATTTTGACCCTTTATGTTGTAATGTTTGTGGTTGAATATATGTTGCCTTTGTTCCAAAAAAAAACCAACTAGAACCTGCAACCGATAGTTACTCGTATATAAAACAGCAAAGGTTGTAAAAGGTTGAAAGTCAAAAGTTGACAAAGATATTAAGACTTTTCGGGTTTTTAAGGTATTTCGTTTATATTAAATTTTTGTTTTTTTATTAAAATTCATGTCATTTTTATTAAATAGTTGATGATTTTTTGTTAAGAAAAAGTTTAGAGAAGCCATGTTTATTACAATTCCCTTCTTTTTATGATGATATAAGCTACACATCTTAGTTCTTTTCTTTTTCATTTCTCTTAAGTTTTTTTATATGGTCCCCTCTTATATTTTTTTTTAACAAACAATATTATCTCTAACATTAGAAAGTTAGAAGTCAAGTTTGGTATCTCAAGGCTTCACCAAAACTTTTTGGACTAAAAAGCCCCCCAAACAAAAAAAATTACAACTACCAACATAAAAAAAGGTTATAATCTGCAAGGGCATTTTGGGACAAAAAAGTATAAGATAATTAAAGGAAAAAAGATAAAATAAATAGATAAAAGATAAAAACCCGCGACTTCATAGGAGAGAAGAAGAACGTGGTGTTGTTTGAAACTGCTCTGAGTAGTTGTGTTTGGTTTATCTCTTTCTTCGGTCACGCAAAAACTGATTCGTCGGTTTCTTAGGTATTTTTCTTCACTTTTTTCTCTCTTCTTTGGTATTTTTGGTGTTTAATTTTTTTTTCTCTATCATGTGCTTTAATTTCAGCTTCCAATGAACTATTGGTTATGTTAATCCAATTTTTCCATTGTTCTGTTTTCATAAACTCGATGGCTGAGAAAGCCAATGGGGTGGTGGACCAGAAGCCGACCAGCAACAGGTGGTGAGGCCCTATCCTTTCCACGAAATCGAGCTCAAATGGCAGTGTCATTGGGTGGAAATTGGACTTTTTCGAACCCCAGATGAAATTGATACCTCGAAGCCCAAATACTATCTTCTTGATATGTTCCCTTATCCCAGGTAAACTCTATCCCTTTTTTATTTATTTATTTTAAATTGCAAATGCAAGTGATTGTTTATGTAGAAAATATGAAGACCCAGTTTTATTAAAAAAGTCTTTGTTTCAGCAATTGCAACTGAGAAACTTAAACTTTATTAATTCATATGCCTTAAGGAAATTCCAGGGCGAGGGTTCTATGCGTTGTTCCGGCGGATGAGGATGCCTTCTGAAAATTCCAGTGCGAGGTTTCTATGTGTTGTTCCCATGGATAAGCAGGCGATGCAAATGTACGATTTAATTTTGACGATGGAGTTCATTTCTTTTTTCTGTTTAACTCATTTATGTTTGACTGGATTTTGATAATTTGATGGTCTGTCTTTCGGTTCTATGTGTATGCTTCGCCTCCATGACTTAGGTTTGGGGAATATTTGTCTTTTGGTAGAGAAGAATATAGCTCTTCGAGGCTTCAATCACCATCTAAATTTTCTGAAGGTCCATTTTTGAATTGGTGAGTACTTCAATCACCATCCTCATTTTCTTCTTTCTTTGCAGAATTACGAACAATGATGGGGCCTCTAGAGAGTAACTGCAGGCTCTGCAAAAGTTTGAATCGCTTTGTTGGTGATTCCATTAGGTGCACACACTCTTATTCCAACAAACACTGCAGAGGACAAAAGAAACAGAAAAATCTGCCCCTTCAGTAATGCAAAAATAAAAAAAAATATGACAAGGTAGACTATTTGACTGAAAGTTCAAAAAAATTTTTAACCTATTTGACTATTTGTGAAATTTTTACTTTCCGGAGTTTGTTTCATGTTTATGAGTGTTAACCGAAATGGTTTTTGCATCCATGATGATGGCATATGGCGTGTAATGTACTTTGTTGGTCTGATGAGAAAGGTTTCATTTGATGCCAACATTATAGTTCCTCTACCCTAACATCTTTCCAAATGTTATTGATCAAAAAACTAGGACAAAATGGTAAAAAAATCATAACCGAACAAAAAAACTGTATTGGAAAAGAAAAGAAATAAAAAAAAACATTATAGTTATCCTCTAAAATTTAGCAGTATTGCGGTTTAGATAATAACTAGTTCCTCATTTTCTTTTAAGACCCTAAAATACAACAATTTAATTAAAAACAAAAATCAGCACTTTAATAAAAACAAATCAATTTAAAAATAAAGTTGAGAACATCATTTTAGGAGAGAAATATTAAAAAATAAAGTAAAAAAAAGGGCACATGGTGAATAACTACTCTCCATTTTAGGAGAGAGATATTAAACAGAAAAATTCAAATTTGTTATATTGGAAAAAAATAAAACAATAAGAACGGAATAACTTCTCCTCCATTTTAGGAGAAAATATTAATATCTATGTTAAAAATAATATCTTATAAATTATACTAATATCTGCATGTGGTCCGACTAATTTAGACGGATTATGATGTTTCAACTAATTTCTATCCATTTTAGGAGGAGATAAAAATCATGATAATTATCCTCTAAAAGTTAGCAGTTATGGAGAGGAGAGAGATAAATGATAAAGGCAACAAAAACAAATTAAAAAATAAAGTCGAGAACATCATTTTAGGAGATAAATATTAAAAAATAAAGTTAATAAAAAAGGCCACATGGTGAATAACTGCTCTCCATTTTAGGAGAGAGATATTGAACAGAAAAATTCAAATTTGTTATATTGGGAAAAAAAAAACAAATAAAACAACAAAAACGGAATAACTTCTCCTCCATTTTAGGAGAAAATATTAATGTCTCTATCAAAAAAATATCTAATAAATTATACTAATATCTGCATATGGTCCACAATTAAACGGATTAGGATGCCTCCAACAAATTTCTATCCATTTTAGGAGGAGATACTAATATCTTATAAAATTATATATAGATAAATAAATAAATAAACGAAACAAAAGTGGGAGAAAGAAAGGGGCAGAGGTTGCCGTGGGTTTTCAAAAAACCGTGAAGCTCGCCCACTACAAGCGCTAACTTCCCAGTTCGTATAATCCCATTTTTTCCGTTCCTACTCATTTTCCTATATCCAAATTCAAATGTTCTAATTTTCCCCTCAGTTATGCAACTGCTATCAATAGTTGTTGCTTGGTTTTACAGACTCTCACACTCCAACGTGGGATAAAACGGGTATTAAGCAACGCCCCGAGTCATCATTCTTCTTTATTTCAATCTTTTCGCTTTTTTGCTTTTCCATTCTTCTCCCACTCCCTCTCCCCAGGCATAAAAAGGAAATTAATTTAGGTGTAAGCTTCTTTTTTTTCACTTCTTTTTCCTGCATGGTTGTACTCATTTTACACATTTTCATGTAAGCATAATATGTAATTGTATGAATTCCCAGGTTTAGCTTCATATGGGTTCTTTTTTAACTTCTTCCTTTGAAATCTTCATTGCACATTTTTTAAATTTTGGTCAAATTATGAGTTTCAATTTTGATTATCTAATGTGCTATACATGTGCTATGGTAAATTTAAAAATTATTTGTTTTCATTCTTAGGATATTTACAAGAATACCCACAAAAAATGAAGAGGGAACTACCTATTGATAAGATCCCAAACAGACATGTCTCTATTTTTACACCTGGTTGGGAGATATCTATCGGAGTAAAAACTACTGATTTAAGCCAACTGATTCTCAAGGAGTGGAAAAAGAAGAAGCATGAGTAGTATGTATCCTAAATTCTACACTAAATTTGTTACAAGAAATCTAACATCATATATACCTTCAATATATAGGTGGCGCATGAAAAATGCTGTAGAAGAATTAAAACCTTCAACAACTCCTCAAATCATAGTTTATTTGGAATAAAGTCCAACAAATTAGGTACAACACAATTTCTTACCTATTTATTTTTAATGGCATTCTCTATATCATTCTACAAATTAATTATCTCAAATTATAAAATAAAAAAAATATTCTACAAATTAATTATTTCAAATTAAAAAAAAAACAATTTATGGGTGCAAGAAAAATATTAATAGTGACCAAACAACTTTTCTAAATACGGTAAGTCTTCTCTTATTTTCATACGGAAGTATACTATAAATTCAAATTGCATTCAATTTTCAAATAGAAATAAAATTGCATTTTTTGTCAAGCATCACACTCGTCTCAAAGTACAAAGGTTGAAGTACAAGATTAAGGTAATATTTCTTACTACTTAATTTTGTAAATATGATTACAGTTTGTTACCTCAAACTTGACAAATTATTCATCTTTTAGTATTCTACAAGTAACTGGAGTAAAAGTATTGCCTTGAGAAAATTGTCAAACTTAAAGGTATTTAGGTTAAGTTGCTTACAATCTTTATAGTGGAGATTGTGCATTATAGTTACAAGACCGATGAGTTTGAATTGAAGTCTAGCTTGCTGCATCACATTCCCAAATACCATGGGTTGTCCATGGAAGATCCAAACAAGCATTTGAAGGAATTTGAAGGAATTTGAAGTAGTATGCTCGAGTATGACACCCATTAATATGGATGGGAATATTTTGAAGATGAAAGCCTTTCTATTCTCTCTTTTGGAAAAGGCTAAGGATTGGCTCTGTAAATTAGCACCTGAAACCGTCACTTCTTGGGAAAGCATTGTAAACACGAAAAATTCCTGAAACAAGAGACAAGAATACGTGTACAAAATATATTTTTGTATTAATGATTTTGGGGTTACAATCTCTTTGTAATTTGGTCCTCTGATTTTATCTTCGTAGGGTGTAGGTTTGTGGATGAGTTGTTGATCCAAAGGGCCGTCGGGGCTTGATCTAAGGATGAACAGTTGATGAATGGATCTTCAAGGGGCGTTGGGCTTGATCTTGAAGAATGGGTGTATGAGTTGGTTGAGGTTGTTGATCCAAAGGGCCGTTGGGGCTTGATCTTAGGATGAACGGATGATGAATGATGAACACTTTCTTCAAGGGGTCGTCGGGGCTTGATCTTGAGTTGGTGGGAGTTCTTCAAGGGCCGTTGGGGCTTGATCTTGAAGAGGATTTGACGAAGAACGAATAGTGCTTTCTTGATCCTTCGGGATTTGCTTGAGAGCTTTAGAGTTTCAAGGTTTCAAGGTTTTGGTGTAATGTAAATTTCTCTTCCTTTCTTCTTCTTCTCAAAATGAATGCCTTGGCTTCTATTTATAGAATTCCAAAACTTGATTTTTGGATTTAAATAATCAGATGAAATAAATCATTTCTGCCAGGTATTGACACGTGTCCTATTTGATGACTTTTCCAATTTATTTTGATTTTTCGTTGAGTCACACGCTACATGTAAAATTTATGTGACACGTGAGCGTTGAAATTTTAATTATTGGTCAACATTCATTTCACCGAAATTTTGATGTCTACAAATGCCCCCACTTCAAGGCGCGTCGTAGACATGTGCTTGTCACGTGTAGAAGATGCGTTTTGAAGTCTCTTAATGTAGATGTCAACCCAAGGGCCGTCGAGGCTTGATCTTGAATTGGGCTGGAAATTTCTTCAAGGGCCATCGAGGCTTGATCTTGAGCTGGGCTGGAGGATTCTTTTGGTCTCCTCCGAAGGTCTGAACTTACTCCTTTTATCTGGAGTTGAATTTGATTCAAGGGTGGTGAACACTTGATTTTGAATCGGACTTGTGATTTCTTCAAGGGCCATCGAGGCTTGATCTTGAATTGGAAATAAGACCATGAGTGGTTTCAGGATTCAGACACATGGCAGGCAAGCACGAGGTGGAGGCATGCAAGATCCCGTCATGCATTCTATACCTTTGCCAGCTAGCTCTGAGATCTCTCTGAGAGGGCCAAACCTCAGTGGTACTGAGCAGCTTATTCATCGCATCAATCTTCGTGCGGCAATGGATATCAAGAGCCATATTGAGGGAAGGATTTCGAAATGCCTGTCGGAGGACCTTGCGTTGCTTAAGGAGGACTTGTCGAAACTTATTTCTGGAATTGACAATCTTAACATTGATTCATCATCCTTAAAGATCAAAATTGCTGAAATTATGGCCGCCTCAACTGAGTATTCTTCCTTGCGTGTTATTTCCTTGAAGAAGTTGAGTCCAGATGTTAGAGCTCACCAACTTGCTGCAATAGACTTGTCACTAACCCAGGCCCGGTCTTCTCAGCAAGCTGCTTCGGGAGATTATCAATCTACAGAGACTTCTTTAGCTTCCGTCCGGGTACGTCTAGATATGTTGATGCGAGAACAAGAACAGCTGGGCATCGAGGCATTAAAACTTGAAAGTGTTCTCGGGGAGCAGAGAGCTATACTTTCTCAATGCCAAGAGGAGATTTCACGCCTAGAACAAGAGAAAGACATGGCTATGGAGTTGCCCATCCTGTCTCTCACCGAGGTAGAGACTTTGAAGGCTTTGGAAGGCTTGCTTGAAGACCGCCTCCTTAGTTTTAGGGACATAGTTTTCGAGTAGTGTCTTCTGCCCTTTTTTCTTTTGTAATCAGACTTTTTCCTTTAAAGAAATAAAATGTTTGCATTCTTGAATTTGCTCTTTATTCTTCAAAGTGTTTTTTTTTTTTTTTTTTTTTTTTTAAGTAGAGAATATATGTATTTTTTCTAATACATAGTAACATATGTATTTTTTTTTTTTTTTTTTGTAATAAAATTGACTTTCTTTAATGAAACATTTATTTATTTATTTTGATGTGACTGTACTTGAAGTTTTGAAGTTTCAAGTTGCCTACGTACTCTTCCAAAGAAGAGATCAAGTCATAATGTAGTTCAAATGAGTGATGGTTTTGATGATGATTTTTCCGTACACAGTTTATGCTCTTGCGGGCCAGGAGCGTGGTGCGTTTGCTTTAGGGGTAGTAGCGCTTCAAAAATCTGCCGTTGATGGGGCCGATCTTCAATCCGTCTTCTGCCATGATTAAGTAGGCGCCATTGGTGTAGATCTCTTGTATTACGTAGGGTCCATCCCACTTTGATGTGAACTTGCTTTTTGTCTTATGAGTTGTAATGATAGGCCTACGCAATGCCAGCACGAGATCTCCGGATTGGAAAGACCTTGGGCGGATTTTCTTGTTGAATGCCTTGGATAACCGTGCTTGGTAGCATTCCAAGTGTTGTTGAGCTTCGAGCCTTCTCTCATCCAGCGCTTCCAACTCCTGAAGGCGCAACTTTGCATTTTCTTCATCAGTCAAGCCTTCTTGTATAGCCATCCTTAGTGAGGGGATTTGACTTTCGAGCTGTAGAACAGCTTCTACGCCATATACGAGAGAATAAGGTGTAGCTCGGGTAAGAGTCCTATGTGTAGTCTTATATGCCCAAAGTGCTTCACTTATTCTTTCATGACAGTCTCTCTTTGTTCGGCCGATTACCTTTTTCAGGAGGTTGCACAGCGTCTTGTTGAATGCTTCTACGAGGCCGTTGGCCGGAGCATGATACATGGAAGACTTGTGCTGCTTGAACTTGTATTTGTCACAAAGCTCGTCCACGAGTCAGTTGGAGAACTGCTTTCCGTTGTCAGTGATAATGTAGCGAGGCACCCCATATCGGTGGATGATATGCTCCTTGATGAAACGAACAACAGTTTCCTTTTTTACTTCCCTTAAAGGTATGGCTTCAGCCCATTTGGAGAAGTAATCTGTTGCAGCTAAGATGTAAGCTTCCCCTGCAGATGACTTTGGCGTAATTGGTCCTACAACGTCCAATCCCCATGCGTCGAACGGCCATGAAGCAACTGTAGGGTGTAATGGTTCAGGCGGTTGATGTATGAAGTTGGCGTGGAATTGGCAGGCTTGGCACCTTTTGGCGTGTTCCAGGCAGTCCTTCACCATGCTCGGCCAGTAGTAACCCATTCTTTTAAGCCGGAAATGTAGCTTTGGTCCAGACTGATGTGCCCCACACACACCTGAATGTGTTTCTTCCATGGCTTGATTAACTTCTTCCTCACCTAGGCATCTCAGGAGCACTCCTTCAAAAGAGCGTCGGTAGAGTGTTCCTTTGTAGTAAAGGAAGCGAGGTGCTCGTCGACGTATTTCGGAACGGTGTCTAAGATCATCTTGAAGCTTTCCGTGCTCTAAGTAGTCGATCAACGGCTGTCTCCACTCTTCAGCATCGACTGGAAATACTGAGATGACATTTGTATCATCTAGTGACATTTCATTAACGAGCGGAATCACCCATCTTTGGCAAACTGGCACGTCTGCAACTTCATCTTTTCCTAGTGTCATACTCGAGGCTAGATTGGCGAGAGCGTCTGCCATTTGATTTTCCTTTCTTGGCACATGTTCTAGTGTCACAGCTTCGAACTTTTGTAGCAATTGGGTCGCTAGCCGGAAGTATGGGACGAGATCATCTTTTCTCACCTCATATTCAGTTAAGAGTTGATTGATTATGAGCTTGGAATCGCCATACACCTCAAGAGCTGTGATTTCCATGTTGATCGCCATTTGGAGCCCGATTATCAATGCTTGGTACTCAGCAACATTGTTGGAGCATAGCTGATTCAGTTGGAAGGAGTAAGGTAGTATTTGCCTTTGTGGCGTCATGAATACTACTCCTGCCCCCGCTCCGTCTGCTCGTGCGGATCCATCGAAGAACATTGTCCATGTCGGGAAAATATCGATGTAGAACACCTCTTCGTCAGGCAAGTCGTCTGAGATTTTCCAATCAGCCGGGATTGGATGATCGGCAAGGAAGTCTGCTAGCGCTTGTCCCTTGACGGCTTTAGCTGAGACGTAGATGATCTCATATTGATTAAGAAGCAAAGCCCATTTAGCGAGTCGCCCCGTCAAGACTGGCTTAGACATAACGTATTTGACAGGGTCGGCTTTAGCAACCAAGTGGATGGTGTAAGCATGCATGTAATGTCTGAGTTTCTGAATGGCAAACACCAAAGCGAGGCACATCTTTTCTATTGGGGAATAGTTCAACTCAGCGCCGGTGAGAGTTCGACTGAGGTAGTAAAGTGCTCCTTCTTTTTGGGATTCATTCTCTTGCGCCAAGAGTGCTCCGATTGAACTTTC